ATTATGTAATTATTTGTATAATTATATTTATAGTTTAAATATTTTGTATGTTAAGTAAAATTAATAAGAAAGTCTTCATTTGTGGACCATGATAACTTAATCGTAATTGTTTAGATGAGTTTACTCCGACTGTATATTTTAATTACAGTCTTAAGTATTTCTTTGTAAATATTTATATTATAGCTAGTCAAAATGATTGTATATTATTATTAATATTGACTACTTTTGTGAATTTTAATAAAATTGTAAGTTATAAATTATAATATTATAAGTTAAACACTAATACCAGTGGCATTTATATTAAATTAAGTAATAAAATTAAAAATTAGTTTGACGCCTTGTCATCCCAATATTAAATTAAGTGATTATTTAATTATATCTAATTTTTCAGGATATTACATTTACAGTTTTATATTGCTCGCACATTTTTGAAAACAAATTGTTAATCTAGCATTTTATTTATTTTATTTTAGACATAATTTCTCTATTCTAAAATATACATTAGATATTATCTATTATTTTACAAACATTACTATATAACTTACCCTTCAACTTGTGCTTGGTGCAAAATAGCCCGACCTCCTGCTCCATCTGCGTACCTAATGGTCCGCTAAAAATCGCGTAAATAGTCTTTTCAAAGGGCTTTTTGCTAGACTGGAGCCCCTGTAGGACCTGCCTATGGATCTCCAGCACTTGCTTCGTATTTGAGAAAACATTGGCCAACTGGTCGGGCGTGAGTAGGCCTTCCCGCTCCAGGGGCTTATAAAACATGCTCTGTATGTACTCAAGTACGTTGACATGCCGTTCCTCTGACTCCATGATTTCCGTACGTATTTGGTCGTACTTCTCGGACCGGGAACTGGACGTACGTAACACTATGGACCGGATGCTCCGGGTCATGCGACGCCATTTTCCCATTATTAATAGTGTGGTGAGAAATGTGACCCCGCTAACTGTGATGGCCAGATACAGCCGGTTATCGTGTATGGTTTGTAGGTAGGGTTGTATGGGATAGGTATGCGGTAGTCGTATGTTTTGTACGTAGTCGGTAATGTGGTGTAGTTGCTCGTATATGTTTTGGTACGAAATCATCAGTGTTAAATAATAAATACCCTGATGTTATGCTGCTACCTCCCTGTTTGGTGTCACCTGAAATTAGAATCAGTTTGGTTATTTATCAATGGTGTAATTGTTGTAAGTTAGTTATTGTAGATAGCTCACATTTTATAGACTTTGTATTTGCAATTACAGTTTATTAACACAAAAAATTATTAACACAATAATATGCAATACAATACCAAAAATACTAAAACCCACACACACTGATATGTAATGTTACCGGCTAATTTTGTAACACAATTTTAATATTTCTAAGTACTAAATACTATTAAACATCTAATTATTTAAATTTTACATTGTAACCTTACACAAATTTGCAGTATTTAGGCAACATTTTATGAGTTTATTGTACACTAAACAAAATTTTAAAAAATAAAAGAAATATTTTTGTTAATAATCCAGGTTCAATAATTAAACACCATGTTTGAATGTAAATAATAGGAGCTCACTATTTTAAAATTGTTTTTGGATTAAGGATTACTAGGTACTGGATTAACTTTAGATAAGCATGCTTATTTAAACTAAAATATAAAAATATTTCACTAACTTATAAGTTATTAACATTATTTATAAATATTTACTTTAAATATTTAGAAACAAAATTAAATTTTTATCTATTACTATAAACATTAAAAATATTTGTGCATTATCATTTTAAAATATTTTTATTATATTATAATAACTTATCGCAAATAATTATGCTGACATTAATATATTGCATACTAAATACTTTTATATTATTTTGTCAACTAGTCATAACATATAATAGACATAAATAGCATAAATACTAGCATATATAAATAATTGTACAATTTATTTACCTTAATTTGTACTTGATGTTGGATGTAAATAATTTAAATAATTATAACATAAAAATTAATATTATACAAAAATGGACACTGTATATAATCTTTGTGTGAAAATATTATATTACAATAAAAATACAGTACTTTTGTTACATTAGTAAGACATACAAACTATACGTGGAATTAGTGTTTGTGTTAAGTCTATGGATGTTGTCGTGTGAACGCTATCAACAAATAAGACATAATAAAACAGATTATTATGAGACATATTACACCGTTTGTTTATTATCAGGGTGTTTTATCTGTGTTTTTACACATTAATGTCTATTGCTACACTTAACTGTGATTTGCTTTGTTTTTAATTTATTGAATTTCTCTCTCTCTCTCTCTCTCCCTCCCTCTCCACATCTCTCCCTCTCCTCCCATTC